GGGGGGGGGGATGAGTCACTCAATTCCCAGCATCCTCATCTTTCAGCTACAGCCTCACTTTGCCCACAGTAGAAAACAGTGAAACTCTAAAAGCTCAAGTACCACTCCAATATTGACAGTTTTGAGTTACAGGACACCTAACTTAAGATACCCCACCCTTCTTCTTTCAAGTCCAAGAGCCTTTCCGGTTTTTACTTACCTTGAGGGCCGAGACCACCAGCTACAGGGAACACAAAGCTGAAACAAGAAGAGGAGAGAAAAAAAAAACATTTAAGGAAAAGAACACCCCTTGCTGAAAATCCTCCACACAGATGACTGCCCTTGTGAAGTAGGGGGGATATCCCATTAGTTACACTATATGATGAAAAAATTGGTAAGCATTTTTTCAGATTGTGGAAAACACCGGGGGGAAATACAGAATTTATTTTTTAAAATGTATATTTAAGAATCTTCATATAATAAAAGATGAATCAAAAGAAAAAAAAGAAAAGAAAGAAAAAAGTGCAAGAAAAGAAAAACAAAACTAAAGTTAAGAAATATATAAATGACTTCTGACCTTCTTTTCAACAGATAATTATAATCTTATTGTCCCTCCTCCCTCTCAAATATTTTACAAATCCCCTCACCCCCTCATTTAGTCTGCACCTTTCTTAATCTTCATGTTCTGTTATTGCTACTGTGACCAAGATACAGTGTTCAGGATGATTTATTTATGAGCAACCAGGGATACACATTGTGCTAAACCAAAAAGTACTCTGTCTAACTGACCTAGCACAATGTATGAATCCAAGCATTGGATGGGTAGTCAACTAAGCTTTATGACTTAAGTGTTCCAGGTCAGCCAAGCCACTATGGCTTAGGAAAAAAACATGGCTTAAACAAGGCACCCAATGTGAATCCTTCCAGTCTGTGACTCAGTCCATTGATGTAAAATAATTCCATTTGCTTCCTTTTAAACCCAAAGAGCCACGTTTCTGACTATGTGCAATCTAGCTCCAAGTCAGTGTACAACTACAAAACCTACTGGTCATTAACCTCAGTTCCTAATATTAATTGATGTTGAGTCACTAGGTAGCTATCATAGCTTGATATGCAGAGTCCTGGAAAATGAAACTGGAAAAGTTGGGAAAGGAAAACTTCTTTTCTCTGTTCTTTTTTCCCAAAGGGGAAAAAAAACCGTGGAATATTGGAAACCATATGCAAATACTTAATACATGTATTCCCTTTTCTTTTTTAATGCATTTTTCCAGGGTTTTGCAATTTTAACCAAAGCTACATAAGCCTAACATCAATACCCTGCTATTAATTATAGATAGCAATTATATTAATTGCTAGCAATGCAATTAATGCCATTTTAATCACCCCTTAGAAAAACATGAAAGTTGAGCAGCCAGGAAAAGAATAAGCAATATGTTTCACAAAAGCCTGAAGCAATAAGAACTAATTCCAGGAACATCATACAGCCTTCTTAACAGACAGGAAGGAAATTCAGTTCAACAGCTCTAATTGCAAATAATGGCATGTTGGGAGAGAACTGTCAGCCAGGATTTTGGCTCTTAAGACAGAAAAATAAAAAGTAGTCATATGTTAATATTTAACTGCTCTTGAAATGTTTTATTCTGGTTAAACTTTATAGAAAAGTGTAAAAACAGGACAGGCAAAAAAAGTATTAATAAAGGCAGAGTTCACTCCTATACTGTTGCTGATTTAAAAATTAGATTATTATAACTTATTTGTTTTGTCCTAATTCCCTGTATTTTATGACATAGCAAACGTGAACAAAATTTAGCATTTGTTTCCATAATGGCAAAACAAATGCCTCTCAAATCCCCAGGTGACAAATACTTGTCTCATCTGCTGTTTCTCCTTGGCGACTGGTTTTCTGGGGTATTTTACAAATATTGCAGTACAGTTCTCTAATTTTAAAAAAAATGGACAAAAATATTAGGAGAAAACATACAAAAACACTTCATAAGATGAGCTCTGCTTGAAAAAAGGAATAGCCTTATATTGGGCAGCACTGTGTATAAAATGTGCAGATCAGAAGAGTGTAGAGAAAAATTTAAACGATGTGTGGATTTTTGTCATTCAATAGGAGAAAATGCAATGAATTTAATTAAAAGGACTGAAAGATGAGAAAGTGAAATGTATAAATTGGTTTCTCTCTAGATCCTAGACCTGATAAGGTTCCTGAGTTTATTCAATGTTAGGAAAAACCAGACATCTGAATCCACCTCAAGCTATTTATTGATTGCTTTGTCATGAGTTTGCAATATGGAAAACAGCCATTTTTCAGTCCAAGGGCAGATTCAAGAGATATACCTCTTCCTTTTAAGAAGCTAGTAGATGTGCTTTATAATTGTTCTGGACTATAGCCAGGGAAGGGACTCCCATTGTTTTAATAACTATCTTTCTAGACCAACCTTTCTCAGCTTGGAGCTCTCAAGCTTTGGTGGACTACAACTCCCATGGAGCCCGGGAAATAATGGGACTTTAATCCAGGAAAACCAGATGATATCAGGTCAGGGAAGACTGCTCTAGACCAGAGTTGGTCAAGCAAGATTTCATGGAGTCTCCAGGTTTCAGAAGCATCCTTCATGGATTGTGTGAAATGTCACAGCCTTTTATTTCATATCCTTCTCGGACTGACTAGTCACTCCTCTGATTCATGTTTCACAATGAATGGACATTCTTTGTTCAACTGTCTAGTGATCTTGAATAATATTCCAACCATATTCATTAATCAGCATCATAAAAATTTATGACTGCTCTAAATGACTTATTACCAATTTGGGGGAAGGAGAGATTGGGTCCCCTCAAAAGTAATTTCTTACATGAGTTCCTCAAGTGACCAGTTCTTGCTGGCCACTGGTTCTTTTCCACAGAAAGAGAACCAGTGCAAAATCTTCAAACTTCGACTCCACTTGGTCAACATCAGACTGTCCCAACACTATTTCTATTTTATTCTGTCTTCTGACCAGTCTTACACCACCACACATTCTTAGTTTACCCTTAATAAAGTTTATGCTTAAGAAAAGTAACATACTCTATACTTGGATAGATTACTATGTTTGTTCAGATGCTTCTAAATTGTACCACACAGCAACCCCCAAATGCTGGTAAAATGCTACCAAATGTTAAAGCCATAGAGCAGTGAGCATACGCATCAATCCAAGCATCACAACATTTTTATAGGAAACAAATCTTTCTCCACTGATAAAATCAAGTACCGCTCTCCCAAATATGGTGACTCGGTTCCCAAATTCCCAGCCAGCTATCTTGCAAGACCTTTAACAAATGAACTAGAGAAAGAAATGAGTTCCCACCCCAGTATACACATGTTGTTGTTGTTTAGTCGTTAAGTCGTGTCCGACTCTTCGTGACCCCATGAACCATATTGCGCCAGGCCTTCCTGTCCTTCACTGCCTCCCTGAGTTTGCTCAGTTTCATGCTCATTGCTTCAGTGATGCTAGCTGTTCATTCTAGGAGCCAAAGGCTCCAATATCTCTGGAGGGTATCAGGCAGGTTGGGTAAAGCTGATCTACTAGTATAGCAGACCTAATTCAGAATACAAAAGAGCAGAAGTTAATAACCATACGTATACATGGGTAGCTTGATAAATCATATGAAATCTACAGCAGAGGTCAACCCATCTTATTTCAGACTTCACACCTGCATATTATATGAATATCCCCCTACTGATATCTGAATGAGACTCCCATGGTGCTGGTGGTGACCACAGCAAGGAGGAAAAGGAAGGCAGGTATGTACAAAAGGTGATCTGAAGTGTTGTGCAACCCAGCCTGGCCTTACCCATTGCCATTTAATGAGGGAAGGAAATAAAGGACAAATCATTAAACATACATGGCTTTCTAAAGAAGTAGTAACTTATTTATAAGAGCTTATGCAGAAGACAAAAACATTCTATTTAATTAGACTCAAAGTTAAAGAAAAAAAGATAATGCTAAACTATTATTTTTCTGATGCTAAGGAACCTATAAAATTACATACAATCTGCAACTGATTGTGTTTAATTAAACTGTATTTAATTAAAACTGATCACTGTTTACACATATAATAGTCTGCAATGTCATTTTGCGAAGATTGGATACTTTTAAAAATCTATTTCTCTATAGTAGAGGGAAATGAATATTCATTAATCAAACTCTCAAAAGCTTACCTGCCCACAAAACCTTTTATTAGCTCATGTGTCAATAGGGTAGGCTGAACTTTCAAAAGAATTTTGATGAGAAGCTAAAATTAATTTTGGGGATTTTAAGCAGCTTAACTGTGGATAGGACTACAATGTTGTTTTTTCAGGGAAAATAGTTCACTAATCCTACCAATTTGAAATATGGTACTGCTCACTGTTACTGTTACCAGTACTGAAATCAGTATGTTTATAAGACCCATAGCCATTGAACTGAAGAAACAAATGAGTCCCATTCATACCCCACATATATGCATACTGTGCCCCACATATTAGCCCATTCATATATACAGTTCTTTATCATTCAATCTCTTAGTAAAGAGCTGCAGCTTTGTCTCAGAAGCTAGCCACGGTTGTATTTGTTACATAGATTAAAAAAAAAAAACCACTCCAACTGAAACTGGGTGCTTTACATAATAAAAAGCCAGAAATATAAGACAGAGAAACAGATATGTGTCCAGAAAAGCTATATGGAACTTAAAAAAATCTTACAAGGGTTCACCCACTGCCCTGACTCAAGACCTGGGAGCATAGCCAGGTTTTCAACACTGTTCAGGACATCATCAAAGTGGGAACCAAATGGGGGGAATGCTGTTTCCAGAGGCAGGTGCTGTGCCAAAGAAGGCAAGTCTCCGAGGCTCCAATAGGCGGCACTGTTTAATAGAGGGGGCTCAAAGCATATCCATTCTTCCAGATGGACAGAAACTGTCAGAGACAAGCGGTCCCTCAAATAACCAAACCCTATCCCATGAAGAGTTTTATAGGTGATAATCAGCATTTTGAATCACACACAGGAGCCAACCAGTACAGTTCACAGAGCAAGGGTGTCACACAGACATATCATGGCATGCTCATTACTGCTTGCACTGCTGCATTCTGGACCAGCTGTCACTTCTAACTGATCTTCAAGGGCAGCCCCATGTACAGTGCACTACAGTAGTCAATTAATGAGGTGACTAGAGTATGGGTGACTATTGGGCCTGTTTAGTACATGAATGGGAAACCACCAGGAAATTCCAGAGCTGAAGGCTAGAGTCAGTGCTTTTCAACCTTGGCAATTTTAAGATGTGTGGACTTCAACTCCCAGAATTCCCCAGTCAGCATTCTGGGGAGTTGAAGTCCACACATCTTAAAGTTGCCAGAGTTTGAAAAACACTGGGTTAGACTGAGAAGTAAAAAACAAACACCCACAGAAATCCTGGAGGAAGGTAATGGCAAACCACTTCCTTTGTGTTACCAAAAAAAAGCCCTGTATGGATGTGTTGCTATACAAACCATGAGTTGAACT